AAAAACTTGGACCCTTCCCACCCTTCCAAGATGGGACCCTCCAGGGGCCCTGATTTTGTAGAGATTGAGTGGGAGGTGGTGGGGAAAGCTGATTCATGAATATGGCCACATGCTTTAACTGTTTGGATTTTCCAAAAACCTTGGGCATTTGGGCGCGATGCACCTAGCCTGCAGTCGATACAAACAATAGAATACTATAAGATACCATAAGTAATACAATATATTATATACAATCAAAAAATCCAAATCCTCTACAAAATCAGGAGCCTGGGCCATTTCTGTCACCAGCTTTCTCTATATTATCAAGGACCATGAATCCTATCATACCTTCCCCGCACCTCCCACTCAATCTCTACAAAATCAGGGCCCCTGGAGGGTTCGATCTTGGAAGGGTGGGAAGGGTTAATGTTCATCATACACCCTGTCTTGTATGCCCATGATTGGGCTAGCTGCTCCACAATGATGAACACGTCGCGAGAAAGCTCCAGCAAAATGCGGAGCACTGTCGCCTTGTAGCGTGTTATAGCCGGTTCATGCCGGTTCAACTCTGGTTTCGTTTCAATATGGGTTAGAAAAGGAGTCAGATGGGTTACAAAATGGGTTATATAGACAATTTGCAGATTCTGTCAGGAAAAGGATAGAAAAGGTGAGCGCATCGGAAATCGCATCGGAATACTCATCGGGAAACTCATCGGGAAACTCATCGGGAAATGCATCGGGATGTGGTCTTGCATTTGTTGGACTGTCGGTGGCAACTTGGAGGGATTGATTTTATAGAGAGCGCACTTTTCTGATAAATTTCTGTGAGCTCACTATGGCCAACCCACAACCCAATATTATAGACTTAAGGTTTCTATCTCGGGGGGCTGGATTTTGTAGTGGGTTGGTTGGGTTGAACCTGGGGTGCCCTATCTGTATGCAAAAAATGGTACCCCCTGGGTTGTCGTGTGAATTTTACAGGGGATGAAAACGCCACGCTTCCATAGATTTTTTGCCCTCGACCTGTACAGCTTGATTTCAAGGGAAACATGACTCTCGATCGTCCTCCGGCCGCTGTGGCTCTCCATGGCCACGACGAAGTCTGCGGAGATGATTGGAGCCTTGAAAGAGTTCTTCCAGGGCGCCAGATTTAAAAACAAAAAACAAAAAATAACAGCTAAGAATGATCTCAATTCTTGTCCCATGAGAATCTCATGGGATCCGGACCTTTGGGATAGCAAAGCAACCCATCCAAGGTCCTTGGAACAGGATAGGTCCATCCAAGTTGCACTTGAAAGACTCTCCAGCAACGACCGATCTGAAAAGAAGACGCTGCCTCGTGGCGTGGAGGACAGGGAAGTCGAAGACCTGAGCGGTGTTTAAATATGAAATCACCTCGATTGAGAGGCAAAATCCTGGAACTTAGGAATGCCATCACGGAAGTGAACCATCAATGCTCTTGTCCATCACTACTTGTGCTTTGACGAGCTCTATTTTCTATTATCTTCTGGGTATTCCATAGTCATAGTGGCAAGCTGAGACTACAGGCACCCTAAATATTGTGGAGCCTTTTGTCAACAGGAGGAATTGTGGGGAAACTCTGTATACAGTGAGTTTCCATTCTCCTTACTTGAGTCCTTTTGAGTGATTTGGGTGTGTTCAAGTGATTATATACGGAGACAAACCAACGGAAAGGCCTTTCCAGGAGCGAGATCGCGACCAAAAGCTTCGCCCTCGCAGGTGGCAGAGGAAGACCTTTGACCCAGAGAGCTGAATCCAAAAAAGATTATTTGTGCTGCTGGTGGAAGGAAGTGGTAGTGCCACGGGTATGGAATGATTCACACGTTTTGACATGTTTTAAACCTGCGTGCTGAGGTCTTTTGTTTGGGAGGAAGGTCCAAGTTCTGGCTCACGTTGCGGGTCCCGTGTTTTTTTGTTTGCTCTTCGCGTGCCTCATGGTTGCAATCAGTTGCATCCCAAAAATGCACGAACCCACTGAGAGAGGGAGAGGACGCACAAAGTGAACTTGCCAACTAAACCGGGGGCTGCTGCTCAGAATGGTAAGCTCACGCGTGTTATATAACTATTATATAATATCTAATGTTTGATTAATATGAAATAATACGGAAACGTTACAATATTAAAAAAATAGAATATAGTCACATGCTTCACGTGGATTGGCATGGTCAATGTATTTGTGGTTCATCCTTCCCGAGCCGCAGGCTCGAGACCGCGCAGGGAAAAACATAGAGGACCATGTGTTTTTTGAATGGCCGCGGCAAGCACTGAAAGAAAGCAACCTGAAGTTAACAACAACAACCATGTTGATACAAAGTGTCTACAATCAAGCAACTTCATGAGTGCTGCGACATGCTGCCACTCTTTCAATTGACTTTGCTCATATCTTTTCCTCTTGTGAATCAGTGTGTGAATCAGCGGAGTGGTCACTACGGCTGTCCTTCGGTGTTCCCCTTCCACCCGTCCTTTCGGACGGTCTCAGACCGGGTCCTTCGTCTGCTATCATGCAAGCTCCCCAAGATGCCGCCATGGTGCGGGTGGGCCTCAACTTGGGGTCCCCCGAGGAAGAAGCGAAGGTGGACCCGATGGGTGGGCGAGTAGATGGAGGGTGGGCGAAGTGCTTCTTTTTCTTTGGACTCTGAGGTCCCGCTTTTTTGCGTTGCAGTATGAAACCGTTTGTGGCCTTTTTTTGCGGCGTTGCATGTGCTAATGATACTCCGAAGTGGCGAGGTGGCTTCGGGGCGTCCGTTCCACGTGGTGTCTAGATGGGTCACTATAGTCTTGGAGGCACCAGTCTGTGCAAAGATGTCAACAAACTCCCACATTTCCAGCTCTATGTCCCTCCCACGTGTCCGAGCAGGCAGCTCGGATGGCGATCACGATGAACGAGACCTGGAAGTAATTTCATTCAGGTGTTTTGATGATGGTCTTTTTTGTTGAATTCCTCACGTGCTTGTGTTTGTCTCACGTTCTAGAATTTTCTGGCGTGGGAGAATGTTTAGTTAGCTGCTTTTGTGTTCACAACTGCTATATGGTAAGTTCTGGACCCAATTTCCAAGGAGACGATGGTGCGCTTTTTGAATCTCACCCGCCTTGCTGCTTGACCACAAAACTGAGGAAACGATCGTCGTGTTTTTCAGAATGCATGAGGTGAAACGCCGTTTGTTGATCGGAATGCACAGAAAGTCTGTGCATGTGAATGCTTTTGGCTGGAAGGTGAATTTTTGGCAGGATCAAAATGGACCCGGTCCAAGTGAACGACTCTGTAGACTGAACAACTGCTTTAGGGCTGGATTGGTGTGTGTGTGTGTGTCTTGAAGTTTGAACATGATTTCCAAGATTCGCTGGGATTTACTCCTCACCTTGCATTTGGCTCAAGATTTGCCAAGATGCCCAAGCTGGGTAGCGAAAAAGCGTCGCCCCTGGGCTTTTTTCGAGCTCTTTGGCCGAGACAACGTGCCAAAGTGCTCCCTCACACCATCTATCGCGCCTTCCTTCAGTGCACCGAGCACGAGCCCTATGGCATCAGCGTGTCAGGGCATCCCAAAGTTCTTTGGACTGCAATTATTTCAAGTGCTTTTTGGAGAGAGAGAGAGAGAGTGACACCCCAAAATATCCCAAAATAACTATTTTGTATTCCATATATTTGTAGGTGGCAAGTGTGGTACGCGGCACCAGGGCCAATTGTTGTTTTGTTCCTGTCTGGCTGGGGGCACCAAGCCTTGGTTTAGATCTCATGCAGGTCCATGAACGGTAGCCCTTTGAGGAGGTGATTGGAGTCATTGGAGACACCTTTATGTAGGTTTGGAAGGTCCAGTCGTACCTTCTGAGATGTGGATCCGGCCCATGGCATTGTAGGTTTTTATCATTTTGTGCAAACAGTCAAGAGGATTAGTCAGCCTCAGGGGGGGTACTCCAGACAACGGTCCAGCCGGGCTGGGGCATGGCCTAAGGCCATGGTTTTTGAAGGGTAGAGTCGTGTGGAAACGAGCCCTAGAGGCATGCTGACATCCTTGAAGTCCATAGCTTATTAAATCGGTCTTGAGTTTGGATGATTGGAATAATGTGGACTCTTGATTGATAACCCCCCATTTGAATTGGAAAATCCTTGTCAATGAGTGGTTGTATTAATCAAGAGCCTACATTAAGCTACCCACCCTGGAGTCATGAAAGCAACACATGAACCTTTTTTCTGATCGGCGATGTTCAAGAGCTTAGAAGGGGCTGTGCTCGCCCGCTTGGTTTTTCATTGGTGCCGCTAGCTATTTTTTACCAGAATATATAATTTCTGCAATTCTTCGGCCCAGCTATTCTATAATTGCTATATACTTAATCGACTTAAGTGTAACATGTCATGCAGCTTTCTTTGTGTGAAGCCAACTCGGGCCCCCCGCTTGCAACATGATCAGCGGAACATCCCGGAACGTGACTTCGTTCATGGCGCCTGCCTCCAACAGTTTGGTTGTTGAGTAGAGTCATGTAGAGTCCCCATCTACAAAATCAACTTTAAAAAACATAAAGAAGAACACATTGGCGTTCAACTGAACCCACCGTCCCCCCGTTAGACACCCGCCCCGTGTTCCACACTCGCTCGGGTCACACGTTGCTTGGGCCCGGCGCCAGCTTCGGGCTTTAGTGGTCCTCGACACCTCGAAGAGTCGCGCTGTGGAGCAGTGGAACTCAGCGCATCCTGAGCAGAAGATCGAAGCGGGCCACGTCATTTTGGAGGCGACAGCACCGGGCCGGTGCGGCTAGAGGCTATGTAACAGGACCGCCCCCCAAAAAAAAGTAGAAACCATGCACCAAGCATTTGATGATACCTGTAGCAATGATCCAATCCGACACGCACGTGCTCTTTCACGGAACTGTTGGTTCAGTTGGATTATGTTGGACTGTTGATGTGCTTCCATGTTCTTCCACTGTCTTCCAGCTCGTTTGATGTGCCTTCGCCGACCTGACAGGTCAACGGGGCGCGGGATCCGCGACGGATGCTGCGACAGCTCCGCAAGAGCTCCAAGGTGGAGATCCTGATGAACAAGCAGCCGAGCCCGGAACAGGCTGGTGATCGGCCTGTGTCCGGTGGAAGAAGCATGAAGAAGCAGGTGAGGTGAACAAAGGGTGAACACTGAACACCCATAAGTAGGTGTGTTATCGGTGCTTTTTGGGGCTATTAACTTAAAAACCTATGTTCAAATCCGGGGCTTGTTCACCTGGGTTACTTGCAGTGGTTGGATGTTTTTGGTCAATAGTACTCTCCAGAGCTGTGTTTTGGCTCTGGTTTCGATTCTGGTAGATGTTTGGTCTCAGATCGTCGAGTTCAAGACGCCTGCGAAAGACCATATGGGGCCAAGCCATGCGATTTGCCTTGGTTCCGACACAAAGACTCAGCGCATGGAACCATGGAGCCACAGCATGGAACCATGGAGCCACGGCGAAAAGCAGTGACCACGAAGTGAACAACGCACGGCACGGCAGCCACCACATCCGTGTACTGCCCGAAAGCTAAGGAAGGTTTTCAAGAGGGCGTCAAAATCTGTCATTGTCCTCTTCTTAGCTGCATGAAGTCAAGTCTCCCCGGAGTCTCCCCTGTAGCCGTGGCAAGGCGATTTTGCCAAGCAGCCAGCAGCGGAAAGGCCTGATTTGACAGTTGAACTTGGTGGCAACTCTTGGCAGACAGTAAAAGGCAATCATCGGGCTGCATGCGTCACCCCGAAGTAGAGGCCAATTGCGAAGAAGCAAAGCGCTGCTGTTCTTCATCGCAGTTGACGTTCACTACGGTCGTCATCTCAAAACGCATGGCACATCTGGACAGGATGGCCAGACCGCACACCGTCCTGGCGCATCACGAGGAAAACGTTTGTCATCTTCCGAAACATTGGTTGGTGAAGGCTATCCCGGTACTCTTCAAGAATTACAACGCCCACCAAAGAAACAGCACATTTGCACCCAACAAGCCCTGCTTGCTTGCACCCATGGCGAAAGCATGTGGAAAGGAGCAACTTCACTTTCTTGGGCCAATGTGTTGCTCGCCAAGTCGGCTCAAGTGATGCAAGAACACCGCTCCATAGTCAGCCACTACTGGCTGGTGGGCTTCCTCAGAGATCGAGGACTGAGACACTGGTAGATCCAAGGGTCATGGATCCCTAGGGCTCCAACATGCTCCAACCATATCCTCAGGCTCGGTGGTTGGACCCCCCTGGCACCCACCCCTGGCCCATCTTCTTGTAGGTGGGCCAGGAGCCCTAGGGGATATGAGTCCGAGATTTCGTTGAATTCTTAGAGATTTCCTGGTGCCTGGCTCTTACTGTGCAGGCCGTACTTCCTTCACCGGTCGACCGCTATAGTTGTGACAGCTGTACCTTGTGATCCATGACAGCTGGTAGTGACATATATTCCTCCAAAATTGTTTAAAGAGTCACAAGCAGCCGGTTGTCACATCGATTTAGTCCCATGGTCACTTCCTTTCCGACTTGGTCGCAAGAACGTTTGACGATTGCAATTCTTCGAGGCTCAGGCTGAAGGAGTGAGCTTTCCCATTGCTTTCCAGTGCTTCTCCCTGTGGATCCACCATGATCCACCAAGACAATTCTTCGGACTTCGCCAGGTCTGTGTCTTCCAAGCGGCCTTGGAGCTGCGTCGGAAGCCGGCCCTGCCCACCGTCGAAGAGGGGCTCGCTGCTCGATGCAGATGGGAGAGCGAGGGAGAGCGACCAAAAGCATCCTCCTCCCCTCCATCCGATCTACACTCTAGCAGGGTCAGGGTCAGGCAGAAAGGCCAGAAAGTGGGGGAGTCCATGGCTTGAACTGTTGGAAGACTCTGGTGCATTTGCAGGTTCATGTGGGCAGGATCTCTTCCAACAACATCAATACAGCAACTCCGGACTAGTGGAAGCCTCATGGCAATCAAAAGTTGCTTAACAGTTGGTAGTTAAAGGAATATCTCATCCACTGTTGCTGGTAACGGGAGTGGTAACGGGATATGCTCAATATATTATACTGCAATTGCTTGCCCCTTGGAGCCAGAATCAACGCTAACCCAACACTTGTTCGCCACACCCACTCGCTCAAGAGACACAAATACGGCTCCGACTGCTTGCCGAGGTGTTTGGGTGTCAGGGTGACCTGAGTGCGTTCTCAGCAGCTAGACGAAGCCCTAGGGACTCATAAGCCATCAAACAACGCACACAATTGTGCAGTATGTCCATGATTGTCTATGTTCGGAAGCCAACTTCTACCATCCTTTTTTTTCGATGCTTCTTCTGGAACGTCCCGCCTCAGCAGGAAGTGACATCGCCTTGTGCCTCAGTGGAGCCCTGTCTCTTGGTGTCGGAAGGTCCGAAGGCAGCACAGGCCGTTCCCCAGCGTGACCAGGGGTGGTGTGGCTCGTCCCATCCAGGGGCTGTGGATGATGGGCACCCCGTTAGCTGTGACTCCTGGGGTATGTCAATGTATGTCGCCATCCCTTTTGTAGGTAGCGATGGTGTTCGTGGTTGTTTATACATCCACACGATGTATAGGTGGTGTAGTGTAGTCTACATGCCGGTGGATGTACTTAACATATAGTTGTGAGTTTGATTGGCTACAATTCTTGTCCTTCTCCGTTTCCAGATGGATGCCAAAAATCATCAGCAACGAAGCAGCATTGGCATCACGAAAACGGTTTGACACCACTCCTTGGAGCTACCAGCAACCTATACAGAACTACCAGTCCACGGGGGCGCTTTGATCCCCTTGATCCATCGGATTGAGGGTACCTGGCTCTTCATCCACCTGGGGCCGTAGTTCAACCAAGAGAAGTGTTCTTGCTACCAACGGAGCAAGGACGCTACGAACGTAGCTCCTGGCCTTACTAGGAACAAGAGGCTGCTAGGAACAAGGGCATCGCCGCATCGCTACCAAGGGCATGACTCCTCGTTCCAAGAAACAGAAGTGGAAAAAAACTTCACACGAAGGAAGCACGGGAGGGGGGAATATGCGAGAGCGCACACATCAAAGCACGCATGTGAGGAAACAAGAGAGCAAACATCTGAGAGCACACACAGAAGAGCATACATAAAAGAGCATACATGCGAGAGCACACATGTGCACTTCGAGGTTCACAAGCGCTGCGCCAATGTGCACATCTAGCTTCACAAAGTGCTGTTGTTGTCACGTAAAAAGTCAAACATCTGCACATCAAGGTTCTGAAGTGCTGCGGGTGCCAAGAAATCTGCGCTTCAAGGACCACAAAGGTTCACAAAGTGCTGTGCCTTCAGCGACTGCACTTCGACGTTCACAAAGTGTTGTGCCTGCCTGTACACTGACCAAGATGCACTCCGTGCAGCCATGCCAGTGCGCTTCGCAACAAAAGCACGTCGAAACACAAGTTCGAGATGCCAAAGCATTCGCGCGATACTTCTCCCAAAATCTGAAAACGAGCCACATGTCCCAAATTCTCCGTGCCATACACTACCCCTACCTCCAAATCACAGCACACCAAAGACCACCACCCATGTTCTGCGTTTGACACAAAAAGTGCACAAAACCGCGTAAAACGGCTTTGATCTCCTGTGCCTGCCACAAGTCGACTTCAGCCCACCAACTCACGAAGTTTCCCCTGGCGGTGGCCAGGAAGAGCAACCACCAAGCCTGACAATGCACACGGCAAGAACGAGAGGGCAAGCGAGGAAAGCACCCGCCCGCCCGGCAGTTGGCGCGCGCTTGCACGTGAAATAAGGTGAGCACCCTCGATTAAACCTTGAATTTAGCCACGACCAATAAGAACTCCTCGTGTGAGCAGTACTGTTTGAGGAAGAGCAGAGCTGGACGCCATGTCTTGCATGGTACGTGATCGCCTCGTGGCACGGGGAGATCAAGCTCAACACCGTGCCACCGTCGTCCGAGGTTACATTTGCCATGAGGATCTGGAGCCCAAGGCCTCCGACCACGTCGAGTTGCCTTGCGGCCAGGAATTTCACCGAATCTGTTCATGAAAGAGTCCTGGTTGGCACCTAAGTCAGTTGAAGGAAGGCACCTAAGTGAGTTGAAGGAAGAAATCCCTCCACCTCCACCTCATGATTTCAAGGTTTTTGTTGGTGCATGGCACTGGGACCGAACGAGCATCCGAAATACGATCCGACCCTTGGGCCCCCGCTTTGAGGTGGTTCATAGATTCATAGACTATTTCACCTCTAAGGAGCTATATTTTGGGACGGTAGAGGGAGTTGTTTTTTTGGTGTTTTGTGTGTTGGTGTGTGTTGGTTTTGTGCTTCTTTTTTTAATGTTTTGTTCAATCTATAATCATGTTCCTATTCTGCTTCTTTGGGTCCACGCAGCCCAAGGAGAGCCACAGTCAGTGGCAACGCCCGGCGCGCCGCAGCGGCGCGTTCGGAGAACCAACGGCCTATAGTCCAGGTCAGGGCGAAGGCATTTGGGTGTGGTAGATTCTGGTGCCCTCCGACTCCGTTTCCATGGGAGGGGAGAACCACCTGTTGATAGAGGAAAATTGTCCCTTCGCGATGTTAGGGAGTCGGAGTGTAGACGCTTCTTTTCACTTTAGTAACCGCGGACCCACAGCCACATGTGGTTCTTCGGGAATGATGTCCAAATGAGGAACGGTCAGTTTGGTTGCTTTGTGAGATTTGGACCGATCTCAGTAGCGCTGATGATGAAGGAAAAAAACGAGCCAAACAACCGGCCAATCCTCATAATTCAACACTCTGTCAAACCAAGAGAAGGCTCCCCCCGGAAACTTTGGGAAATCCATCTTTCTCCGGGGGTCAGTATGAGTTTGGGGGAGTGGAACCCACCCTGGAAATGCAGGACGCCCAACGTTGTCCAGTCAAACAATATTGCTAGATATTGTTAGTAACATTTAGTAACAAACCCAGGAGAAAATCATCATATTGATCATATTTCTTGACCATGTATAAAATGTGCATTTGAAGTGGGCCTTTGTCCTGGCACTTCTTCGGGATCGCGAACGATGGCAGCCTCAGTGCTGCCAATTGCCTTGCCAGTCGATTGGCCCCATGCGGGGTGAATGACGTGCAATGCCATGACAGATGTTCGGTGGCGACCCAGGGGCCAATCACACGGCTGGCATTTTGAGTCAGAATCGGGTCCAGGTACATCCAGATCAGATGATTTTTCAATATCCAACCACTCCCGAAGGAGGGTTGCAGTTGATGGGATGGTGTGGTGTATGGTGCTGGACCCATCTCAGTACTTCCGTTGCAATGCCTGGGAGCATTGCGAGAGAACCTCCTTGCGGAGAGTGCGAATGCGTAGTCTTCGGCCAGCTGATCGCGACTTGCTCAGGATGTGACGGCGCCATGGTGCGCAAAGGGACAGCAGTGAACTCCGTTGACACGGGGTCCTGCTGATGGAAGTCATTGGTTTTTGAATTCTACAGTTATAAGTTATATATATATATTAGTCATAATTTAAGTGATACATGATGAATTGGGTGTTTTTTGTGTGCTTTTTTCCGAACCCTCCCCAAGATGTTTGCACATAAATTTTTTTTCCGAGCAAATGGGAGGCACAGATCAAGTCGCAGAAGTTTAAATAATTTAAATCATTGGCCCGAGTCGCAAGCAGAAACGCATCCGCCTCCCTTGGAGCAGCGGCGGTGAGATCCATCTTAGGAGATGCAAACGGCGGATGGTGAGACCTGAAGGGTTTGCCCCCACTCTGATTGTCACAACTAGCTACTTCCTAAAGCAAAGCAGCCTCCTAACTTCAATTGCACGTGTTGTTTTATATCCATTGGTCCTCTTGCTGACTGTTCAGTCTCCATCATCAGCAATACTCCGAAAGACATGCAAAGCAAATCCATCCACGCCCTAGCAGCCTAGTCGTTCTGGGCCGAATCGGCGCAGTCTTTTGCTTTTGCCATTGATTCAACGTGCTCGAGAGCGCTCTGTATATAGTTGTGCAGCATGGAGCCGGGCCTCGAGCACAATTCATTCTTTGGAAGAAAAAGTTGACAACCGAAAGCACATGCGAGACTGATGCTTGGAAAGAGAGGTCCCAAGTGTATCACAAACCTTTTTCAGGGAACCATGGACCCTAGAATGGCTTAAAACTGTTATAGAAATTCAAGGATCACTTCACAGGAAACTTCATTGTTGCCATTTCCCCACGCAATCCACACTCCGCGCCGGTGTTACTCACTTGACTCATCGTTATGCACTGCCTCTCGCAGCACTGTAGCAATGGATGTGGCTGTTTGCTACAGGGGGTGCTCACTTGGAACCAACAGTACCGTTGTACAGTCGAGTCATCCTGTGGGCTTTTGCAGAATCAGCCTGACTGTCCTCATACATAGAATGTAACTGAGCCCCTGCAAAAGATCACCTTCATGTTCTGCCGGGCTGCCGAAAGGTAGGACGGTAGGATCGTTTTATCAAGGCATGGTCTAAGGGAGTCCTGATCAGCCTGTTTCTACTCCTTTTGACTCCGAAGATGTGAGAATATGTGTCATATGTGTCATATGTTGTTTGGATCGAAATACGCCATGAACGATCTTGATTTCAGACATGGGAGCTTTTGGATCTAGTGTGGATTGCAGGAAGAGCTTTTAACTGTATTTAACCCCCCACCCATCTCATTGGCTCAACGGCAACCACCAACACGCATCAGATTAAATAAACAACGTTGCTTAAAATGTCCATTCGACGTGTTGTTCGAAACGACTTGGTCAGACATGTCAAAAGAGCACCTTCCATTTTTTGCCCAAAACGCTCTTCACCCGCCTCACCCCCCCTTTCACATGCGCTTCATAAAGGCGCGTGTTTTCGTGCGCCGCCCCTGGCGTTCTGGCCCCCGATCGCCTCAGGTGATCGTCGGATCGCCGGTGGTGGTGCAAAGCTGTTGGATCCACTCGGTGGATCTCAGCAGTTGGCTGCTACGGCTCATGGCGACGCGACCGAGGAAGACGGAGCTGGGACGAGGAAGGGTCTGGTGGAGCGGAAGGCGAGGTATGGGTGGAGCTTCCCAGGACCCGGTTGGACCCGAATCCTTTGGAGGGGTTTTGAGGGAGAAAGGGCTGTTTGGAGTGTTTGGGTTGGAAAATGGTGGCGATGGGCGCATGCCGTACCGAACTCAACTCAAAGGCAAACGGAAGGGTAGTGCACAGAAAGGGTTTTGCAAAAACCTATTCCACTAACGTCGTGGAAGGCGCGTGACCTTCGTAGAACCCAAGGCTGTTCGTGGACAGTTCGTGGAATGGTGGGCCAGTAGGACAACTGACTGCAACGAAATCCCAGAAACCTTCGCAGAACTTCGTGGAAGGTATTTTTGATGCACTAACTTCGTATAAGCGATTTTTGCTGACCCCCTTTCTCCACACACCCTCCGTTTAGCCTTCATCAACCATTTCTCGAACTCCACCAACATGGACATGGGGTCTTATTTCCTCCTCAAGAAGCATCGGGTTGTCCATGTCCATGTTATCTTTGGACATGCTGTGCACCATGTGCAATGTGTGTGTGTTGTTCTTCTCCCCGCGCACGGGAACATGGTGGCACTTGAAGTGTCGGATCTGGAGCAGAACTAAAGAATTCGTGGGGTCTTGATGGTACCTGATTTGGACATATGGACAACATGTGCATACAATATGCAAAACGATAGATACTGCCCGGACCATGGCTGAGTCCGTGAGACACCTGGGTCAGCGTTCAGGTCCTTCTGGAGTTCACCTGCCGAAGCTGGCAATCTGAACAACTACACTCCAACTCACCACGGAAATGGAGTTCACCCCCTTTTGGTGCCTGTAAAGGTGCGTAGAATGCATTAGATAATCTTCCAAGAGACCATGCCTAGTCCACTTCCATGAAAACGTGAGTCAGGGTCCCCCCAAAAAGGAACCGACTCCATGTATGCCATGACCATCCATGTATGCCATCCATGTATGCCTTCATATCCCAGACCGTATGGCATGCCATGACCTGCCAACCCCAACTGATCGGCCCACTGCGATGGTCCCAACTGACCAACCGATCGCCGAAGCTGGACGAAACGAGAGGCCCGGGCCAGTGACCGAGTGACCGAGTGAGGCATTATATGCAGTGGTTGGACTCATTGGGATGCTTGTGGCACCAGCTCCTTGGAAAGATACTATGTTTACATATTATTTACTATCATTACCAATGACCCCCCCTCTCTCTCTCTCTCTCTTTTTCTCTCTCTCTCTCTCTCTTTTCTATTTTCTTTTTTTTTCCGATTTGATTTTGTGAGGCTGGAAGGTTGATACTTTGTTGGAAGGGATCAGGTGATTCAGTTTGAGATGTACCCTTCTTTAGCCAACACCTGGAGGTGGACAAACCCAGCACCTTGTGAAGAGTTTGAAGGGTTACGACAGTTACGACCTTGCCGTGTACAGGTCATAAGGTGTCATAGTACAACCTGTGTGGGTGCGACCATCCCCAGGTTCATGATCTACGATGATTCAGTATACCCTTTAAACTTTAGGTGGACCAGATGCAGGTCCTTGGCAAGGAATCACGCACGTCCAGTAAAGCTTGCCATCCTATCTAGCAGCCGTTTCACAGGGTGACTCAATCATCGTGCAATCACCCCTCCAAACCAAAAACAAATGTCTTCTTTGGGGAACTGTTTGGAACATCATTGAAAGCAAAGGGCCTCTTAATAACTCAATATGCTGCCTGAAAGACATCGTATTTCAACATTGCAGCCCTCAGGAGCAAGCCTTCTACGCTCTTGGCTTGAAGGAGTTCCGTTGGATGTTCCAGCGCTTGTGCCTGGGTGACAACAGGGCACATAGGGGAACAGGTCAGCTGGCTTCGTGTTTCTCTCCAGGAGGTGCATGATGGTTGACATGTTCCATAACCAAAAGCTTTAGATGGGGAAGGGGCTGGGTTTGTATGGCAAAGACTGACATGAGCACCTTGCAGAATTCACAACTACCAATGGACACAAAACAAACAAATGGATTGAGGATGATTTTACCAAGGCCCAAGGCTTCATACAGAGCACAACATATTTGAGCTGCATACGATATACATTGATATACCAAAAGATTGCACTAATTCTTCCGACCAGATTCACTTGAACAAGGGACCCATTTCTTAACTTGCTTGAGGTCGTTGTTTATGCTGTCCGGCAACCCATCCGCCCGGCAGGCTAGGGGCCTCCGCCCCGTTTCCGCGTCGGCGCCGTCGCTGGGTCTCAGGTACCCGGAAGCAGCGCACTGGAACGGCAATCCGTGTCCGGACACCGACCCGGGCGCCGCGAAGCTGCTCCTCTCAGGAGAGGGACACGTAGAGGAACAGACGAGGAAGACACGCAAAACAGCCCGAGACAGGGAGAGAGAGAGAGAGAGAGTGGAGGATGTTTGTGTTTGAACCAGCTGTAGAGATGATGTGGAATCTCATGCTGTTTGTTCCGACAGCTGGAAGAAGAGCTCCTGATAAATGCTTTTATATAGTTACCTTTGCGTGTACATATATATGATATATACATATAAAAATAAATCTATATGTTTGTTTGTTTCAGAAAGAGTCCGAAGAGAAGGCTTTCGATAGACCGATTCAGTCAATTATTTGGCCGAATGCCCACTGCTGGGTGTGCATTGCGCACTGACGCTCCCAGACCAGGACCTGGTGCGCTGAGCAAGTTAGGAGAGAAAGAGGTGTGGCTCAGAAGGGATGTTCACATGGTTCACCTACTTAAAGGTCCATCGATACATCAGACGATCTTCTGATATTTTCTGAATACATTTTCTATGTGTTTCTTGTTGTGCCACCAGCTACTCCCACTTAATTTGGAGTGACTGGCTTCCACCAATCAGGGTCTCCAAAGGGGACACAGTCCTCACTCTGGACCTCATCCATCAAAAAATCACGCATGCGTTTGCACTTAAAGTTCCTGACCTCTCTTCATCCAAGGCGTTGGGTTTTGGAACATTTGTTCATTTGTATGGGTCACCCTTCTTTGGGTGCTTGAAGACACCACAAGTTCCAAAAGCATCAGGTCCCTGCGAACACCCACACTTGGATGTGATTGACCAAAGTGTTTGTTACTCACCCTTCACCTCCCTTCGCCACACCGCCTGAACTGCCCATCCTGCAGTTGCGAGTGCGATGGCACGGCAGCGACAGCTTTCTGAGCCTCGACAAAGACGGCTGGGCGGTGCCCGGTCCCGCGAGTGGTGCGGTGCAGCTGCTGCTGCAGCCGATCTACGCCAAGGGCTTGCAGGTCGCTGGGGCGAAGCTGCACAGTCAGGGCACAGTCAGGTGAAGACCTGACTGTGGGTTTTTTGAGGTGTAGCTGGATGTGAGTTCCAAGCGGAAGTCGCTTTCTTCTGAAAAGTTCAACAGCGGCCATTGTGCTGAACCGCTTCGCGAGTCTTCTGTTGTGTGTCAAGTCCTCCTCAAACATTGCTTTTTGACTGATGCAAAAGCTGCTGATGCAAAGTCATATTTTTGACTGGCGCAGGTGCCGGACACCTATACCATTCAGGCGGGAACGGGGCAGCTTGAGAATCGGTGTCATTTGCTTGGAATTGGCGACATCTTGAGACATAAAGTGACACAGTGAAGGTTTTTATAAGCCCTATGGATCCACATACCTTCTGAGAAGGTGATTGGAGACTATTTATGTAGCCTTCTGAGAAGGTATGTGGATCCATAGGGAAGGAGGGTGAATGTGCTTCACACTTGATTGTGCCATAAGTCGTTTTTGCTGCGCTTTTGCTACCTCAAACTGTGGTGAGACTGAAAGGGAGGAGTTCAGCCAGATTGAGCAGATGCAGTTTTTTGACCAACCCCATTGGAAGGGAGGCAGACTGTGGGCTCCAGGACAAGTAGTGGTGAGGAGGAGATGAGGAGCATGTGGTCAAGCACCAGTGGATGCCAAGGAGACAAGCCTTTCAGATGTCCTTGACGTGATACCACAAGGTTTCAATGACATACATTTCCTCCGTGTGAAGCAAGTGCACCAAAAAGACACCAACCTGCAGGACCTGTAGCCAGAGAACTTGTGCAATTCAAAGTGAATAGATTAAAACAAACTACGAAACGTGGAAGGTTAGTTGAACATCTTACAGACAAGCAGCCAAGCACATGTGTTCTTTTACATCTTTTCCACGCCCAGATCTACCAGACCAGACCGTTACACTGGTTGGAATGTTAATATGAAGTTCACCACCTGTTTGGTATTCAGACGATATTCATCCTTTCGGAGCCATGTCGTCCACATAACTAACGACTTTGTTCTAGGAAGTCTAACAGTCCTTCGCTTCATAGGCCCATAGGCCGTTTCGCTTGCGTCATTTTTGCGCTTGGGCCATGAACATCCGAATCCCACGCGCCAGGTGAAGAGCACCGATGGCAAGTGGGACAGCTGTTGGTTGGCCTGCACGGCCGTGAGCCACCTCCGCTTCGGCGGCTGGCTGCGTGCCGTGCGGGCGGAGGAGGAGTGATGCAACACGCTGTTGGGACGTCTTTCTCCTGGCGCAAAAAACTGCGAAGCTGCGAAGCAAAAAACACCGTGTCAGATATTGTAATTAGGTCGTAAACATCTTTGATCATTTTTGCACATCTCTCATGATTGTAAGAGCGTGTTTAATACTTAGTTTCTTCTTCACTTCTTTAATCGAACATGAAGGAGCCCATCAACGATGTTGCGTCGATCACGTTGATGATTTGGCATGCAGGACGCTTGTCCCTTCAAGTTCCTGCAGGATTCTTCGTGCAATTTGGGAACCTGCGACTTGGATTGGACTTGAATATACTCATATACGGATTCAGAGAACCACTGCCGGCCCCAACTAGCTATGACTGAGTTGCAGTAAGAAAGATGTGCCTGAGCAACAGTTGCAGCTAATCACACCAAGGAACACTTCTATAGTCTATAGATGTCTATAGGTATTTTTTGGAGGGCACTTCAACCAAATAGCAAGGGGCTTGGTTGATCATGCTTCCAAGTCACAATGGTAACATCGAGCTGTGATGTGTGAAAGTGAGCTACCGATGTGGTCACCGGATGTCACCGGTAGAAACTGAGGCAAGGTCCTGAGCTCCTTTTCCACACCACCGCAGCAGGCGCCCTTCTTGGGCAAGGAGCGACCGTTTTCTTCGCCTTGGAGCTGGGTGGGCCTGAAGGGTTTGTCTGACCTTAGCCGCTTAGCCGCTTAGCCTTTGGTCAGTCCCCAAGATCTGACTAAGGCGTTTGTGTTAATTTTGTCTTTGGGATGTTAGTTTCTTCTTTGGGCTGGGCCAAAACATTGGTAAGAGATGGGTTAAAGTACAGATTCGTCCGGGTTGCATGCCATAGGAGGATTTACCCGGTCTGTGTGGGTTGTTTGCAGGGAAAGGGATTTGCTATTGATCACGTTCCTGGAACTGAGTTCCATATATGAATATGCTGAATGTTCAGGTGCATTAGAGTGATGTCCGCATCATGGGCCCCTCACCAAAAACGGTACACGCGGTTCTCCAGGTGACTAGGTGCTTCTTAGGTTTCGGGGGGGTCCTGTAGAAGCGGGTTTTCCAAACCTTGATGCGGGGATTTTGAAAATGAACAATGAGGTAGGATCACATGCACCAATTCTCCTGGAGTTCCTTCAATATAGATGCATCAATAGATTCAATAGGTGCTAGCTGCGCTAGCTGCAAGCTGGTTAGAATTTTTAGGTGTGCGGAGTGATAGTCCATGCCTCTTGCTCAGTGAGAAACCAAATCTCTTCAGCTTTCGCCCACCAGGACGTTGGCTGCATCCCAGCAGGCTTCTATTGGGTGCAACAGCGCCATGCTGGGCGGACCTACGTAGGACAGGCACCGGACGCGGAGGCGGACCTCTTGGAGTTCTTGGAGTTCTAAGGCGCGGGTCTTGATGAGATTTCAGCACTTTTCATGAGTCGTAGGCCCCGAGTGGCGCGCCAAAACCCCTAGCCTGCAAGGGGGTTTGGGGAGTGTAGTAGCCACAGTGGGCATCGACCGAACACAGCTTGACCGAGAGTTGAGCCAATTACATTCAGGCAGGGCAATCAAGGAACGGGTCAGGATTTGTTCGACATATAATTATGCCTTGAGCAAGGTGGAAAGACATTGTTTGTGGCGCATTTGGAGGTCATGTCATGCTGCTTGCTAAGTTTGGTGCTTTGGGGGTGCAGATTATCACAAAATCATATCTGTGTTGTTATCGGGGAGTCGCGATTTGACGAACAAACTTGGATCAATGGTCACCACTACTGAATTCGGGGTATTGTTTGGAATCTTAGAAGACGGCAGCTCGTGTCATTCATATATTTATGGTGCATTGCCTTCCCCTGAAAACGCAGCTTGCGGGCATCGGACATTTAGCATATAATAGGGATCTTAAGTCTTAGTGATTTGATGCAACCGTGAAGCCGTTTGGAACGGTGAAGTCCAGCTGGCCTGTACACCGAAGATTAGGGCCCCACCCATCCCGACGTAGGATACGTAGGCTACGTAGGCCGGTGTGGAAAACAGCTTGTTTTGAGCTTTGCAAAAAGGACAGGGGATGCTTCCCACACCAACGGTTTTTGAGCCACACCAGTTGCTCGCGCAGGCACAAAGGAGAGACCGATAGCCAAGCCGCTTGCGCCGCTGGCACGGCCCTTTCGCTGACGCTGCGGTCTGAGATTTCTCCGCGGCACAAAAAGATGCAGCGTAGCTTGCTATTCGATACTGATGGTGGAAGAAACCTGGGCCCTGTACCATTTGCACCTCCAAGGACTCTTACAGAAATTGTTCACCCCACACGCCACACGCTGCCTTAAGTTGGAACATCTCCATTTTGGCGGGTGCGGAATCCCCTCCTTCAACCTCCAGAGTGGCCGATAGTATATTACATCATTGGTGCCGTGCAAGCCCAGAGTTGCATGCCAACCCCAGAATTGCTGCCGAAATGCTGCTCAAGCTGCGTGATAAAAGCTTTTGCATCTGAAAGCTGAATGTGCAGGTCATTTGTTCACTTGCTTTCCATGACCTTCTTCGACACTTGCTTTCACCTTCCCAGCATCGGTGCCCCGATGAGCCCAGCCCCCAGGCGTCGCACGACCCGAGGCGAACGACGGCGACTGGTGGTCGTCCGGTCCGCGCTGGTCGGTTTTGGCCTTGGTGACCCTATATGGCTTGTGTGCGGTGGTCGAACGAATCATCAACCAGCTAACTGGACATAGCGAGGCGAACGAAGGATTCAAAGGATTGAACTGGCAACTGCTAGTCGCCACTTCTTCTTCATGCTTGGCCGTGACACAAGGCACCAAGTCAATGTGGAGGTTTTGGGGTCTATGATGGTGCATCGCTGAAGGCGTAGATTTTCCCTTCACTTTGGTACACAATTTGGAATGTGTATTAATTAATTTGGACGAGGTTTAGTTGTTCTTTCTTCCCAGAGTGATACTGCTGATTGAATCAACGCCGCTGGTGCATATGCCTGAGATTTTGAGGCAAGCACAGATCATGCCCGCCAGAAAGAGAGAGAGAGAGAGAGAGAAAGAGAGATTTTGTTCATTTGTCATTCATTAAGGGATTAGCCCAGGTAAGAGAAACCTAGGAAGCAACGCTAAATATTAATCATATTACAATTGTTCAATGCCCTGTGATACCCTGTGATAACTTTTTCAACAAGCAACAACAAGTGGCAGATATATAAGGTGATATGTTTGTGGTGTGCCTTGCAGTTTCAGAGGTGACTGCAATGAGGTGTCATGATGTTGGCAAAGGGACGTGGAATGACAAGGGATTTGGGTTGGAGTGACCAGTGCAGCAACTGCTATCCTGAGAGCCTGCAAAGTGCATGCAGCTAGTACAGGTGGCCAAGGGATACCTTGAACACAGGACCAGTAACGTGACAAGGTTGAGGGCAATTGTTGGCGCCATTGTTGCCGCGGAACAACTCGCCAATGATGCACAGAAAGCACTGCAGCAGCAAGACCTTCACTCGGAAGTCCTCAAATGGATTGGAGGTGCCCAGGTGGCCAAGTTGGACTTAGAGCAGATCCTCAAGGCCTTGGATGCAGATCCTGGAAGGATGAGCTGGAGCACGCTGGATCATCTCCTGGACTTGGAACGAACTCATGCCATCACTTTTGGGGACATACTGCAGAATAGTCTGTGTTACTTGGGTTTGCCCCATTACCCGTAAAAGTCAGTGAACAACTATTTTAGAGAAAGGCCTTTACGCACCACAATCATCATCCACTGCTACTGGTAGTGATAGACCCAATGTATAACATAATCATTCATCAGAACACTTGAAAGCCAAGTGGGTGACAATGATATTGCAAGAAGCTTTGCTGACTGGACACAGCAGTCCCGGCTTTTACTCCATTTGCTTGTCGATGAAAGTGCCGCAAGCCTTCATTGTTCACGCTGGTTCATCGTAAATACAGGAAAATATCCAAAGCAGCAGTGAACAGGAACGTTGCATGCAGCAGCTCATGATTCTTTGCGATTCATGCAGCACCCATCATGACAAGTTCCAAGCCCTTTTGAAGGTTTGTTGGACCATGGGGCCGAGGAGCTAGAGCAGCTTCTTTCAAGTTCTCAGACTCAGCGACCAGAAGAGATTGCCTGCTTTTCGTGGATTTTATGGCCTTTCCCATCAGAGGATTCAAAGATTACTGTTCTGTTGCTGTGGTGAGAGCATCATAGCATACACGAGAGTACATACCGAAGGCACTTTTGATGTCAAGTGAAAAGGCGCGAACCCTTGTGTTTCAAGGGTTATGAGCCCAACGCCCGGTCGGTAAAGACCACCTGTGACTGCGGTGTGCGCAGCGCAGTTGCTGGCCGCCATGGCGGCGGAGCGGTCGCAATCCATGCCGCCTGGGGACATCGTGAACCCATGGTGGTCTGAGCGGCTTCAAGCCGAAGCCTTGCTGCGGCGCCAACGGCCTGAGGATCTGCCAATTCCTCAGGACGATGATCTGGACATGGAGGCGGTGCAGGACTATGGCGCCGCTGGCTGCTCGGGCAAAGGTCGCGGTTCAGCGACCATGGGGGGGCGGGTCTTTGCAACCCCACCGGTTCAGAGGGAAGAGGGCAGGGTGGCGCAAGGCAGACGGAGGGCCTGATGCCGGGGGAGTCAAGTGTGGATCCTCCTAGGGCCAGGGGGAAAACCATGGGACCACTCCCACCAAAGCATGCACCACCTCCGAAGCCGGCTGATGAAGAGCCAAGTGGCCTCCAGCGTGCCCTGGAAGCTGAAATGGTGACATTTCTCAGGGAGCAAGTTGAGCAGCTCTCGGAGGAAGTGTCACGACTGAGGCAGCAGCAAGCTGCCACCAAGGATCGGTCAGGTCCGACATCTACACCATCGTCTTGGGAGACAGCTGATGGTCCGGGCACGGATCTTCGGAAAGAGGATTTGGGTGGTCATGAATTTGATGGATTGAAGGGTGGTGCACACACTCCTAGGGGAAGAAGTCCAACTACCAGAAGACTTCATCATGGAGAGCGCTTCACCCCCAATGGCACCAAGGTCCCATCGTGTCCACCACCGGATGTGCCCATGCCTCCATTCCCTATGTCCACAGGCCCCTCAGCTGAATTTAGTGGCTCCTCGGCTGACATTAGCCTCTTGAAGGGCTATGAAGTGCTGGATGCATGCCGACGTGGGCGAGGAGACCAGCAGTGGCTGCCGCTTGGCATGAGAGAAGGGAAAGTGATGCAGCCGCATGACTTTCAGGCGGCTCGGGCTGATAGGCTCGAACAGGAGCTTGCGGAGCTGAAGGCTTCGCTGGGACATCCACCTGGACCGAATGCACTTGGGTCTTCAAGTTCAAAAGATATCCCATTGGGGCCATCTACCTCCTACCGTGGTGGCCCTGATTCGAGCACTACGCAAGCTGGGGGTATCGGGTTGCGTGGGCATGATCATCGAGATTTTTCTTGTGGTCCTCATGGTGGGGTAGGTCATGAATTTGTACATGATACTGAATGCCCTCTCGAGCGCCGGTCTTTGGCGCAGGACTATATGGCAGATGGCGGCCGGATGGCAGCCTTGGTGGCCCTGGCGGTGCAATGCCGCTACCTTGGAATGATGGTGGTGGAAGCAAGGCGGAGTTGGCTACATTGGCCCCTGATTCATCTCCGCTGGAATTGGGGGATTGGTTAGCTGTTTGCGGGCCGGTGCTCCGTGACATCTCCGCTGTGTCTGGCAGATGGTGGCATTTGACGCTCACCGAGGCACAGTGCTACTACGATCGATGGAAAACGGCTTCGCCTTTGGAGAGGGTTCAAATCACCCCTCGCCTTCCGGACGAGCTCAACGACGCTCGCTATACCATCGCACCGAGCAGCGAGGTGTGAATCTTCTGCTCAAGGCCATCCCGGTGGATCAGCAACAGTCCCTGATCACCGATCGAGAGCTCACATCCACGGCCTTGCTGTACCGGCTTCTGGTGAGGTTTCAACCCGGAGGCGCTGGCGAGAAGGCCATCCTGTTGGCCAAGCTGACCACCTTGGACAAGGCCAGCAGCATCGCCGAATGGGCGGCAGCTCTTCGCTCGTGGAGACGTCATTTCTCGCGGGCTCGTGAGATTGCCATTCTTCCTGATGGCACGCTTCTGTTGAAGGCGCTGGAACCGGCGGTGATCCACATCTCGTCGCTGGATGCGCAAGCAGCTTTCAGGTTGGCCCAAAGTCGCCTTCAACTGGGAGTTGACCAACAGCCTCATCATGATGGTGTTTGGCGGCTGAGTCAGTGTGTGTTGGCCGAAGCTGAAACCTTGTCCCTCATGTCCTCTACTCCAACAACATCCACAACGACCATCAAGGTCAAGCAGCTCGACTCAACGAGCAAAGCAGGGGTTCCAGTTGGCACCTCTTCGGACAAGGGCAAGGGCAAC